AGTTAGACCGACCAGGTTTTTAATCACCGTATATTTGTTATTTCATTGCTAAATGTGTCTATAATTGCACTTGAAGGGAGTCTGTAAATTCAGCTAGGGCCCATGCAGGTAGCGAAAGTAATGGTCTCTAGTATGACCTACCTTCAGTTGCTGAACGATCTATGAACAGTTTTTTTTTATAATTTGTTGTTTAAGATATGTACATGTATTCTACTTTTTAATGTAAATCTGTGATATTCTAGTTATTTTACTGTGCTTTGTTGACAGTTATATTTATATCGTTTGTTATTGTTAAGATTGTTTTCATTGTGAATAAAAGTTCTTTGGAAATAGTCCAATCTCAGCGGAATTACAGTGGAAGTGTTCTGAACATTGTGAGAGTACTAGCGTTACGTTTAGGGCCCATCACTTATTACAGCCGCCACGCATCTGATGTATTGTATTGACCTTTAACTTGTAAAACTATGTGTAGAAATAGAGTTATTGATTATTCGTTGATGTGTAGTCACATTTAGTTCTGTACGTACAGGACCCGTGAAGATCAGGAGTAGAATAGGTCTTCAGCAACCCATGCTTGACTATGCTTGTCGTAAGAGGCGACTAACGGGATCGGGTGGTCAGGCTCGCTGACTTGGTTGACACATGTCATCGGTTCCCAATTGCGCAGATCGATGCTCATGCTGTTGATCACTGGATTGTCTGGTCCAGACTCGATTATTTGCAGACCGCCGCCATAAAGCTGGAATATTGCTGAGTGCGGGGTAAAATTAAACACACTCACTCACTCACTCACTGTACGTACATAAGTGTTTGTCAACCTCTGCGATTGGATTCTTGAATTTGGAATGTCAACTTGTAACGACATACCAGGAAGCAGCCTTTCTTCGAAACAGAATGTCTTACTTGTAAGAACATCTTGGTGTGTAATATCTACTGTATTAGTAATGATGAATGGATAAAACGTATGTCACATTGTTAAATTGCTTACACTGACAAGCAATCAGAAATCAGATCTGAGTATATGGCAACACAGAGCACACAGACAGATTTATTTACAAGAAGGTGTTCAGTGTTATACAGAAACTGATACAGTAATTTCGTAGGGCCAAAGTCACCAAAGCGGCAGTAAAATACAGTACAACCAGAAATTATTGAGAATATAAGATTGTAATTTTATATATTTTTTTCACTCATTCAAATACAGGTGAACAGTTAATATTTTGTCAAGTCACCATGGGCAGCAATGCAGGCTTCAATGCGGCAGGGCATACTACTGATCAAAGAAGTTAGAAAGTCGTGGTCCATGCTGTCCCAATATCGGACCACCTCTTCTTTCATTTCAGCAATATTTGTCAGATATTTCGCATTGACACTTTCCTTCATAAGTCCTCAAACATTTTCTATTGGATTTAGGTCAGGGCTATAGCTTGGCCAATCTAATAATGTCATATTTTGGGTCCGAAACCAGGCCTGTGAATGCTTTGAACGATGGTTTGGGTCGTTGTCCTGCTGGAAAATCCAAACATTTCCATAGAACACGTGAGCAGATGGAAATACATGTCCCTCGAGAATGTCTGTGTACCGCTCACTGTTCATATTCCCTTCAAATACACAGAGGGGCGTTGCCCCTAACACAGATATGCCACCCCACACGTTCAATTTCGGAATGTACTTTGGGTGATGATACAAAGGTTTTTCAGTTTGTTTGGTCCAGAATTTCAGTGTATTAGGAAACAGCCACACAGAACTTTCATCTGAGAAAATCACATTGTCCCAGTTAAACTTTCTATGCTGTAAGCACCAGTTCAACCTTCGCTCCTTTTGTTCAGGTTTCATGATGGAATTCCTCGACTTTTCTGCCAACCCATTGCATGCAGCTCAGTTCTATTTGTCTCCTTACAGACAGCCACAGTTCCTCTATCAATCATATCCAGCCTTAAGTTTTCTAAACTCCTTCGTTTGTTTTTAGAAACAAGAATACCAAGCCGCCTCCTGTCACCGACAGTCAATTTTCTGGGCCTATCTGCGCCTCCCTGGTGCTCAATGCTATATCCATTGGCAATATTTTTCAAAACACGATAAACAGTGGACAAAGGGATGCCTGTTCTACTTGAAATCACTTTAGCTGATCTGATGTCCTTGCTATAATACTCTAAAATCAACTTCCTCTTCTCTAAATAATCCATACTGAGGATCACTGAAAATGTCGTCTGCTAGCAAGTAAACAAAGGGGGATAACTCTTCACAAACTCATGAAAAAGGATTAACGGAGTTGTCTCTCTTGAATGAAACCAAGCACTTGATAGCTGGTCAAGGTTGTTTATACTAGAAATCCAATTAAACATATTCCTAAAATTCTCAATAAATTCTGGTCATACTATAGCTCGCTGACAACCGTCCAACATTTATGCACGACGTTGTTTGGAAAATTTGTAGTCTGATGGTTATGTCCTGAAATTATTACGTACTAATAAACGCTTACTCGGTGTCCGGAATATGTGAGGTTGGGACAGGGAGTGACATCGCTCTGAAATAAGGTTTCTATATCAGAAAGCTTCGCCTGTGTTTATTGTATTATGTGGCAACAATGTTATCTGGACTCCATTCCACAAAGCGATTGTATCGCTACGACTGTCGTACGTCCGTGTTAAAGTATGGAAGTTACGATCGCTTTGTGGAACGGTGGCCCGGACGATATAATGGGCCTAAAGCGCCATTTACACCTGTCCATACCTGCAAACATCAAATGCAATGGGACACCTACACCTATTTTGTCAAAATTCATACGTTTTGGATTCATGTTCCGGATCCGTTTTCCTCCAATATTTTTTCTTTGAGCAATGTTTACGGACGCTTAATCCGGACGCTCCCTCTTCTATAGCATGAAATATTTTCTATCGAAATTTCTTGTTGCTTCATTTACTTTCTCGTTATTTCAGTTATTTTGTTGAAATTTCGAATTTTTGTACGAAAATTGAAATATTGAGAAAATAATCGACATTTCGCCGAACAACATAATTTATGATACTAATCAGGCTTTCGCAGATACGGAGGGAACCTTTTCTGTGAACTTCGTTGAATTAATGTTAGCTTGTCTACAGAATGTTCTAGGAGAGGACACATGAGGAAACAACAACGAACAAGTATAAAGGTCGCATATAGTGCCGTTTTGGCTCCGTATTTGTGTCCATGACAAGCATCCGTATTGTACGGTGTACACGGTGAACAGTCCATCAATCACGGGTTGGTCTGTTAATTGTGATATTCTCGTGGTTGTAACACATTTTTCATTTTTCACCAGTTGTAGACTACTCCAAACCTAACTGTTTATCGTTGCGTATGTTGTAGAGTCTGAAACCTGTGACAACAGAGTTGAATCTAAGAAGATCCTGATTATGTGTCCAGCTTTGAGAACGCCATACTAGCGATGAGTTGCGCACGACTTGCAAACCGGCATCACTTGAGCCGTCCCTCCTAATGAGCCAGTCACGCTGTGATGTAACTGAAATACCGGTCACCAATTCACTCGCTCACTCATTCTCAGTATCATATTTAACGTTTCATTCTGTTGTACTATGAAACCCATCTTGCGTCTGCCAGGGTAAGAATGTAGCATCTTCCGCCATTACGGTAACGGTTCATTCCTAATTCATTCCTAAGTAACGACTTCAGTGTTCTAGACGCCATCTTTATCGCCTTGCAAAACGGGTTAGAGGAAATACTTTCGTGAATGAGTGAGTTAGTAAGGTTTATATCTTTACGGCAGACACTTGAAATGGGCTTTACACACTGTACCAATGTGGGAAATCGAACCAGGGTCTTCGGGGAAACAAGCGAACACTTTAACCACAAGGCTACCCCACAGCTCCTCTTTATAAATAATATAATGTTATATTACCAAAGCTGATACAAATATCTATGTGTTTGTTGTAACGAGATGGATGAGGCTCAGATGAATGTCATTGATGAGGTTGTCACATGGCATGTTGTAAATTTAACTATTCGAACGCTTTTTTTAAATGTTCATGTCCACTTTCCAATGTTTATGGATTGCTATGATTCCAATTCCGAGGCTGAATCAGATTTAACCATACAAACACAAAGGTCGCTTATTTTGAGCCATACAACCTTGTGTTTCAATAATGATGCTGTCTCCAGCCGCTATATTGTAGCATAAAACAACATGGCGGACATATGACCAGTCACAATGTATGTTGATCTCACTCAGTCTTTACATAACAGTTTAAGAAGGCAAACCATGGCTACAGCTTGGAATCACAAGCACCGGTCTCGACTGTAGGATGTGTTTGTGTTGGTTAGCGCCACAAGCAGTCATATCTCACATATACAATGAAAGTTTGTAAATAATCGTGTTTGTGTTGTCAAAAGTAATAATATTATTACAACCGCATTTCAAGCGAGTCACCGAGTCTGACCGCCCGATCCATTACGTCACCACTTACGTCACAAATGACGCACTGGAGTTCTATTACTCAAAGGACAAAACTGAGAGTCGACCATTACCTATATCACACATTCAGCACACACACACACACTCACTCTCACACACACACACGTACAATGCATGAACCTTCTTGTCAGGAATATCCTACGACACATCACTTGAAATATTGCAGCGTGAACAATACACAATCGTTCTTGATTAAATGGCACGTAGATCGATATTCATGCTGTCATGCTGTTGATCACTAGATAGTTTGGTCCAGACTCGATTAGTTAGACCGCCGCCATATAGCTGGAATATTGCTGAGTGTGGCGTAAAACTAAACTCACCCACTTGATCAAAGAGCGATGGTGTAGCCTAGTGGTAAAAGCTTTCGCTCGTCACACCGAGGACCCGGGTCCTATTCCCCTACATGGGCACAATGTGTGAAGTCCATTTCTGGTGTCCCCCGCCGTGATATTGCTTGAAAATGGTTAAACGTGACGTAAAACTAAACGCGCTCACTCTTGATTAATAAAACAGAAAGGTGGCACAATTTGGATTAACTTTTTATTGTCGTTAGTGGCACCCCTATTTACAAAGTTGATAGTTAACGCTAGCTACAGCCTCACCCACCGGCAGCTTGCATTGACAGTGTACATCGCATGATGGGCAGACAGTAAGAAGCAGTAATGCAAACTACATACAAGTGCAAAAACATTTACATTCACAGTATAAAACCTGTGGTAATTATCCGTCAATGAAAATACCGTTAAACATTGCAGATTCGGTGATATATTAGGATGGTTATACTTACATTCCTAAACTGCACACTCGTGATTTATTGACAACTGAATAGCCTGTTTCAGAACAATAATACCTGGACAGGGTGTGTATATTCTCATACAGATATAGAAGTAATGACTTCACTGTTGACACTGGAGGTATCTGTCTTGTGAGTGTAGGAATTTATATAACTGACATCATCAAGAAGCAGGTCATGAATTAACAATGTGTGTATCAATGATACATCAAGCAACATGTAACAACTAAGGTGTTGATTTTCGTAAGGTACGTTCGGTTACAAAGTGTATCATTTTGAAATAAATAAATCTGAGTTGGGGTAAGTCAAACCAGCAAGGTAAGGCACACTATTGTATGAAGTATGAAGATAAAAGGCACAAAAACCCAAATGTTATAAACTGTTACAAAATACACATCAATATCGTCCACATATAAGGCACATTTATTAGTTAATATAAACAACGATTCGGTGACCTTTAGCAAAACATATAAACTAAAAACACCGGCTTGTTCAGGTCTGAGGTGTTTAGAATCTGCAAAAAAAAATAATGTTAAAACCCCGGATACGGCATAACATAACGTGGCTTAACTAATGCGCAGTGCTTAAGGCACAAGAACCACGAGCAGAGGTAGTCCATATATAGAAACACGTGTTTCTCTAATTGTAAAAAAATTGAAATTTACAGAACCGATTAGCTGTGTATATAATGAAAAAGACAAAGGGAATCCTGAATACTTCTTGTGGAGAACTGTGAATTTCACTAGAATTTAAGAACGTCCAAGATGTTTCAATCACAGATTGCACTTTTCAATGCTCTCGTGACTGAAGTAAAAAGCACTGACAAGAGGAAAGACGCTAAACAGAAACGGAGTACGACAAAACAGTTCATCAAAAGTTGGAATGGACATAACGGATCTTAAAACGAATGAAGCAAATTTACATTTTTACAAAGTCTAAGAAACTAATTGGAGATGAGTGATAAATGCATGGATTATGTTGTAATGGACGCCAAACACCCCCCATTAACATAATTGTCCTGATCTCATCATTAGCATAATGGACTAACCTTTTAAATAGTTTGCATAGAACATCAAAGGCCATTTTGTCATTTAAAAATGACGTTATTTGTTATGCTTATCTGCATTCTACTTATGAAAGGTGACATCGTTAAGGAGTATGAAGAACAAGAAATGAATTAATTGACAAATAATGTGGCAAACGGTAAACTTAGGTCCTTTAGTAAATATGACAACTGAAAGCAAGGTCTTCTTGGTTGACACTGTGGATTACTCATATGTCTGTAAATGTCTTTAATGACCTGCACCCAATTTTATTGTACTCTAGTAATACGAGCAGTGTTATTTTAAGCCACAAACGTACATTACCCTCACATTTGTGCAACAACAAAGACTAACATAGGTTTTCATTACAATCTCATCTTGATGGACATGACCGCGGCAATTACCAGAAGCACTGAAGAGGTCCAAGCATTTACAACGGAACTTCCGTTTGTTTTATATTTCAAAGTATAGCTGCAATTGCTCCCATTCCCCATTGAACCTCCATTTGCGGTTTTGGAAGCAAGGTAAAGAACAAAACTAATTTCGGTGTTTGAGTATCGTTCAAGCAGAGGCTCGCTAACTTCCCATCTGTGATTTTCAAAATCATCGGTAAGGTCAATTGTTGTATCATTTCCAAACATTTCTGTGTCACTGGCCGAAACGAAACCAAGGCTAATTTCACATGTTTGGTTGGCATTGCCGGGCTGGGTACGGCACATGGTGACGACTGCTTCTCTTCTGTTCCACGTCATTTCGCCGTTGTGTTTGATGGATACTTTGGGGGCGAACATTGCTCTTGGAGGGACAGCCCTGAAAACGTATAAGAGCTTTACAGGAACACGTTACATAGGTACGTATGTAAGAATATACGTTTCTGTTTTTTTATACAACCGGTCAAACCAAGAAATTGGATTACAAGCAACCAGGGCCTAGATTTTCGAAGCTCTCTTAGGGCTAAGATAGTCGTAAGAGCCATACATTAACATTAACTTACGACTATCTTAGCTCTAAGAGGGCTTCGAAACTCTATGCCCAGAATGGTAATGAGACTCAGATCGTATAAGAAGTGCGCCTTACCCGTTCGTGTAGACAATATCAGGTGACCAAACCGCGCTCACATTGGCAGTGATCTCCTGAACCTGGTAGGGGTACCAAGCTAAACGCTTGTCTTTCCACATCTGAAGAAAAAGAGAGAATGGTATAGCCCAAATACATAACACATACTTGAGAGGTGGCGCAGTAATCTCATCATGTTGATCAGCAATCAATGAGGAAGCAGTCTGAATCAATTTTCATTTGAAACCCGTGTGGAGTCAACGTATTGACTTCTTCACATGGGGGTTTGAAGTAATTAGTTTGGTACATAATTCGTTTATACATTCAGTCTTATAACGGTACATTACAAATACATAATCGAGACAGGATAAGGAACTTAATGATAGAAAACATGGCAAGGATGACAAACACTTGGCCAACCATTAACCGAGCTGGAGCACCCGGCACCATCTGATCTCCCATAAAATCCTCACCCTCCTTTCTGTTTGTTTGTTTATTGTTAAAGGCACATTTTCACTCAATAGTTTGGCCTATATTATATATATTGGGGCATATGCACTCACTTCAGACTCAGTATAAGACTTATTATCCCTTGCGACTTGCCTGAAATCGATAACTGAAACTTCGAGAACTTCGAGACAAACAGTTTCCAAACAGAGAAAACTTGCCACATATGGAATGTAAATCGAAAACTGTCGCACGCGATGTTGTCGATGTTTGCCGAACTGGTTTCAATCACAAGTTGTGCGTAGGATATTCGTAAAGAGCGCTCCAAGGGACATAACTCTAAGGGGTTCGCTTCAAATAATGTTCTGCCGGTGGAGGGCACGTGAATCATTTAATGCAACGCTGCATTAATTCATTCTAACTTTTTCAATTCAATACTGGAATCTAAATGTGTAATTTTTTTGTTTTGAATACATTACATGGTAGCTTCACTGAGGGCTGATAGTAATTTTGAGAGAAATGCATTATTTATTTTTAGAGAAGTGTCTTTAAAATAGTGCCTTTAAACTTCGAAACTCAGCAATATTACATATATATGACGGCGATATGTAAATAGTTGAGTCTGGACCAGACAATGCAGTTATTGGCATGTGCACCAATGTACACCTGAACAAGTTGGTAGTCACTTACGATTTTCATGTCCAGCAGCGACTCCAACTCTCGCCTGTTGAGGTCCAGATCTCGTATGTGGTATAACGTGGCCTCGATTGTCACCAGCACAGGGTTGGGGAAGTTATCTGGTGGGCGGACTCTTTCATTGTACTTGTGAAAGATGGTAGAGTAGATCTGGGCCGCCTCTTCTTGAAATGCATCAGGGTCGTTTTTGTCTCTTTCCTGCGCCACAGCCCCGTAGATACTGAAGCATCAAAGACAAAAACGATTAGGGATATATTTACTCACACAAAATGTGAGCGTAGTTTGATGCCGCATTTCCAATTTCATCACGTTCGCATCATAATAATTGAGTCTTGACCAAACAGGCTATTCCATGAACAACCTCCCGTAACCATCAGATCAGAGAACGAATTGCTGAGTGTGGCGTTAAACAAATAACAAACCGTTCCAGAAAAACGAGTGCATATAGCTGATCAGATCAAGTCTCAGAGGTTTAGCACCCGATCTATTTCAATCGCGTCTTTTGAAATAAGAGCGACGGTTCCTTAACCATAAGTAATCTATGATAAAGGCAGAGACCTTTGTAAATTCACGAATATATCAATCGAAAACGATTGAAGGAACAGCATCTACACTTCCACTGCCATAAGAAAGGTATGACACCTTATGGACGAAAATTTCTATGTTATATTATGATGCGACGGTTCGGTACAGTTTCGGTTGGCAACTCTTTCCGCTTCCATATCGAAAACGGTCATGGGTTCACACGTTAATCTGATGTAAACAGAGTAAAAACGAAGGAACCATTTACTTGATGATACCGGGTACTACTGGAACGGATGACTGACTGACTGAGTTGGTTTTACGCCGCTTTTAGCAATATTCCAGCAACATCACGGCGGGGGACACCAGAAATGGGCTTCACACATTGTACCCATGTGGGGATTCGAACCCGGGTCTTCGGCGTGACAAGCCAACGCTTTAACCATTAGGCTACCCCACCGCCCCGGAACGGATGAAGATCTACCCATGTCGCTGGCACTAGTGGTTTATGAGGATGTACTAAGCACTAGCTACTTCTACTTAGACAGGGATTATCACAGTCGATGTCTTGCTTTACAGGTTATAAATGGAAGCCATGATACCTAAGGACGTCAATGAATTGAGTTATTTATTTATTTTTGTGTATATATTTTGTCAGTAACCATTACACACAAAATGATGATTCAGGAACCTACACCAATAAATCACAGTACGCTCGGAGTTCGAGAAACAGGTGTGCCTGTCAGTCCCTGTAAATGTTAATGTCTACTTTACAAGTGTTTAAATGACTACGTTAAGTAGGAGAAGACGGGGACTGAAGTGGCATGGAAATAAGTAACTTGAAGAATATATATGCATAATTTGTTGGTTAGAGAATGTCAACCTTTGGTAAACATAGACACCAAAAAATTGGGTCTGATGCACCGAATAGTCTGGTTCAAACGATGGATTTTTGCACCGACTAGTCAGGTTCAAATAACTGAACAAAAATAGTTTTAAAAATCACAATAAATTTGTATACCACACGTATTTCAATAAATTAACTTTTAAGTTATTCACTACGATCAAATGCAATAAATTGACATGATGCGTAACAATTTTAGTTCAGTATATCAAAACTACATTTTATAGTATCACGTATACTGGAACTCTGTGTTACCTCGCCTGTTAGAAACATTATATGGGTCGTGCATTTATCGCCCATGTAAAGAGCAGGAACAGAAGACCTTAACGGGTAATGTAAGGGCAAAGTGTATCATCTAACCCAGCCGTTTATAAGACATATCCAGCCAGCAGGTGCGCTGTCAGTCATTCGCCTTGTACACATACACAAGTCCACTCAGCATGGCTGATGTTTAAATGCATCATTGATTGAGATAATTGGCGATATTTATTCCCTACGTCCGGCAAGCATGAACTTGGGACCCTGTATTGGCATGTATGTCATGGCCGACGGGTCCCGTCATGGGCCGTCTAACCTCTCCCATAAACACAAAACCCTTGCTCTGTTTGAGCACGTCAAACAAAACTTCATCCTTCTCAATAAGTAATTGGACACGCAAACGGATTTTCTCTTCCCAAAAGAGCAATGGTAAACATTTTGAAATTGTCACTGGGATAGTAACTATCTCATTACATGCTTGTGAGAACGTGAGAGTGGAGCAAGTCTGTCAATGTGTGGTTCTCTGTTTTCATATATATCGCAGAGAGCATCACAAGAAGCCTGACGACACCAGCAGCAGCATGTTTCAAGGCCCCGACAGATAACATCAACAGTATCACATTTCAAATGAGACTCGACACGATGTGATTATTTACATAACGTTAACCTGTATAGTTAACCGGAATCTTGACTAATCCGGATTTCTGTCAATGTCGGACACATATTCACGGGCCCATATATGCCGCCAGAAAGACTAATAGTTCCGTAGCTTTCTCCCCGTTTATATCTAACTAATCCCACACAATTAGAATTAAAAATACTGTACGTGGAATTATTGTGGAAATGCTTCAAATTTTCAGCATTATTTCTAGTTACCACCGCTCTAACATTTAAACCCCGTAAAGATCCAGGTAAGACTTGGATTTCAGCAACCCATGCTTGTTGTAAGAGGCGACTAACAGTATCGGGTGGCAGGCTCGCTGACTTGTTCATACTGTTGATCACTGGATGGTCTGGTCCAGAGACGATTATTTACAGACCGCCGCCATGTAGTTGAAATGTTGCTGAGTATGGCGTTAAACAAAAACAAACCAAACCAAAACTAACATTAAAAATAATATCACAAAACGTTACATACGGGCTGGGCCAGGGATCTTGCGTCTAATGCATTGTTAAAATTGCACACGAATGGTCATAAATAAACTGACCCTAAATGTTCCATTAATGTATATAACGGGAATAAATGATTTCTTCATACAAGTGTTTAACTCGGCCATAGAGTATCGGTAATGTACAATCCACAAGGAACGAGTACAAGGCCCTTACTAAAATAGAACCAAGTAGTTGTCAAGACGTCATCATTTCACTGAAAAACAGAAACTGCTGTTAAACTGATCGAAGCAACGACCATTCTGATACACATCTGATACCACCTAATGATAGAACCACAAGTCTAGCTCGGCACTGTCAGCAGTTTTCTGCAATCTTAAGTATGTTTCAAAATAACCCAGCCAACATGCAAGCTTAAAGGAGAAAAACAAATTTCAACGTCAAACGCAAATAAGGATGGTCATATATATTACACTTTGAATTAAATGCGCATGATATATGTGGCCAGACATGTTTGCTAAATATATTACACTCACACACTGTCGTGTGGAACTTTGATGTTCACACTCACACACCGTTCTGTTGAACTTTGATGTTTACACTCACACACTGTTGTGTGGAACTTTGATGTTCACACTCGCACACTGTCGTGTGGAACGTTGATGTTTACACTCGCACACTGTCGTGTGGAACTTTGATGTTCACACTCGCACACTGTCGTGTGGAACTTTGATGTTTACACTCACACACTGTCGTGTGAAACTTTGATGTTTACACTCGCACACTGTCGTGTGGAACTTTGATGTTTACTCTCACACACTGTCGTGTGGAACTTTGATGTTTACACTCGCACACTGTTGTGAGGAACTTTGATGTTTACACTCACACACTGTCGTGTGGAACTTTGATGTTTACACTCACACACTGTCGTGTGGAACTTTGATGTTTACTCTCACACACTGTTGTGTCGAACTTTGATGTTTACTCTCACTCACTGTTGTGAGGAACTTTGATGTTTACACTCACACACTGTCGTGTCGAACTTTGATGTTCACACTCACACACTGTCGTGTCGAACTTTGATGTTTACACTCACACACCGTTGTGTCGAACTTTGATGTTTACACTCGCACACTGTTGTGTCGAATTTTGTTGTTTACTCTCACACACTGTCGTGTGGAACTTTGATGTTCACACTCACTCACTGTCGTGTGGAACTTTGATGTTTGCACACACACTGTCGTGTGGAACTTTGATGTTTACACTCACACACTGTCGTGTGGAACTTTGATGTTCACACTCACTCACTGTCCTGTGGAACTTTGATGTTTACTCTCACACACTGTTGTGAGGAACTTTGATGTTTACACTCACACACTGTCGTGTGGAACTTTGATGTTTACTCTCACACACTGTCGTGTCGAACTTTGATGTTTACTCTCACACACTGTCGTGTGGAACTTTGATGTTTACTCTCACACACTGTCGTGTGGAACTTTGATGTTTACACTCACACACTGTCGTGTGGAACTTTGATGTTTACACTCACACACTGTTGTGTCGAACTTTGATGTTTACTCTCACTGACTGTTGTGAGGAACTTTGATGTTTACACTCACACACTGTCGTGTCGAACTTTGATGTTCACACTCACACACTGTCGTGTCGAACTTTGATGTTTACACTCACACACCGTTGTGTCGAACTTTGATGTTTACACTCACTCACAGTTGTGTCGAACTTTGATGTTTACTCACACACTGTCGTGTGGAATTTTGATGTTTACACTCACACACTGCCGTGTGGAACTTTGATGTTTACACTCACACACCGTTGTGTGGAACTTTGATGTTTACACTCACTCACTGTTGTGTGGAACTTTGATGTTTACTCTCACACACTGCCATGTGGAACTTTGATGTTTACACTCACACACCGTTGTGTCGAACTTTGATGTTTACACTCACACACTGTCGTGTGGAACTTTGATGTTTACACTCGCACACTGTTGTGTCGAATTTTGTTGTTTACTCTCACACACTGTCGTGTGGAACTTTGATGTTCACACTCACTCACTGTCGTGTGGAACTTTGATGTTTGCACACACACTGTCGTGTGGAACTTTGATGTTTACACTCACACACTGTCGTGTGGAACTTTGATGTTCACACTCACTCACTGTCCTGTGGAACTTTGATGTTTACACTCACACACCGTTGTGTGGAACTTTGATGTTTACACTCACACACCGTTGTGTCGAACTTTGATGTTCACACTCACACTGTTGTGCCGAACGTTGATTTTTACACTCACACACCGTTGTATCGAAGTTTGACGTTCCCACTCACACACCGTTGTGTCGAACTTTGACGTTCACACTCACACACTGTTCTGTCGAACTTTGACGTTTACACTCACACACTGTT